TGCTCAGCTCGTGCTCCTCAGCTCCACATGGGGCTCACTTGACTGAAGAGTGGAAGTGGGCTGCTCCCAGCTCCAGTCCATCGTGCTAAACCACCTCTGGATGTGACTTGAAGCCACCTCCTCTGCTCACATCCCCCCACCCCCAGGCAGTTGCACCAGGGGGAACAAGGTTTAGGCAATCCCCAGTGTCATGTAATCAAGTTTTACAGTCTGCTGCCAGCATAATAAAATCTTTACTACTATAGATGTCTTGCATTTTCGAACCCTGTCCAGCAAAAATAACAACCCCATGATGTGGGAACTAGTTAACAATTACAAGTTTGTGCAAGTTTTACTGAAAGCAAAGGTCAAGATTGGAGTTGGACAAGTGCTCAGCCGGTACCTGGCATCCCCAAAGCACTGGCCACCACTGCTGAGGTGGCTTTGCACCCTTGTCCCCAGTGGTAGCTCCTTTGCAGTTCCTATCTGTAAGATGAAGGAAGAGGGGGTCCCAGCACTGATGATAGTGCTTAATCACATGAATGCTTGCAGCTGAGCCCTGTGATGCCTGAAGAGATACATGGTGGCCCCAGCGGACAGGTGGGGCAGCCACCATGGGCTTGACAGGAGAGGGAGCTGCTATAGCAAAAGGGTGAGGCTTATCTGAAGCCACACAATGAGAGGTGTCCTAGTTTCAAAAGAGGCATTGTGCAAGCAGGCAAGAAGTCTGCTCATGAGGATAAAAGTAATCTTTCAACTCCTTCTATAAACCAATCTAGGTGGTTATCTGGGTACAGGACGTGTGAGCTGTCCTCATCTCCCCTCCAGCCATGGGGCCCAAGGGTGATGCTACTGTCAGACTGCAGATTTCACAATTTTCTGGGCTCTTCCGGTCCAGAATCATTGTCTCACTGCTTAGAGCACAGTTGATTCATGGATTGGAGGGTGTAACCCAAAGCCCAGTGTAACCAACCAGGTTTGTCCCATTGGCATCCATTATCTTTGGGATCCCCATCCTTGCAAACTGGTTTCTTTGCATCTTGCCCCAGCCCCCTTGGCCTCTGCCAACTCAAACCTCTACAGAAGCACAGCCATCGAGCAAAACAGACAGAATTTAATGATCTTTAGAGTAAAACTCCCATCCATCTTGGGAAGAGCAAATGAAAGGTTATATATAAAGATGGAAAAAAAAAAAAGAAAAGGTATGCCCATTTTAACCCGGTAAAATATTACTGCACACGGACTTTTTGAGAAGTTAGAGGTTGAAATAGCAGCTAAGAGCTGCTAATAGCTCCTAGACACAGCTATTAGCAGATGCAGCAGAATAAATTGGTTTGTTTATCAATGAGGAGAAGATGAAATCTGTGGCTATTAATGGCCCAAAAGTAATCCTTGGTTTAGATAGAGAAACATCAGAATAGGCAATGACACTCTGCTGGAAGACAAGTAATGAACAGCAAAATCAGCAAATAACTTCCACAGAGTTGAGAAGCTCTGAAAAGGAAGCCTGATCAGCACCAATTCAAGAATACATTATTTTCAGAACTGTTACCACATCTGTCCACAGCCGTAGGCAGTAAAGATTTGTGGTGCTACCACCATGGCTTCCACAGCAGGTGGCAATAGGCACCATTTGGAAAGCAAAGACAAGGATAACATGGAGAAGCCTTTGATAAAACAGAAAAGGAGAAGAGCTGGTCCTTGGCCATGACATCAGACAGACCACCAGAGAACAGCTGATGTAGCTGGAAGTGATGGGAGTTATAGCCAGCCCGTGCAGCAAGGTGGTAAGAGATAAATAAAGAAACAATGAAGGGATGGTTTTTGCTTGCTCAGACTAGACTTGTCTCCTGCTGTAAAGTGGTCTCAAGAATTGAAAATAAATTACCTTGTGAGATATGTCTGTGTTTTCTGCCTCTGCTCTTCTCTGTAAGTGTTGGTGCACTGTGGACCTGTGCCGTGATTTTCTCCATGACAAAACTGGGGTCTGTAAGTGACACCATAGAAGCACACTGAGGTACAATGGACTGTTTTCCTGCTGAGTTCCAACAGGAATCTTGGAAACCCCATATTCTGGAACAAACTTCCTCTTTCTCTCTTGCTTCCACTTTGGGGCTCCCAGCTCTGATGCTGTTAATTACCCTTGGCTAAGTGGATCATTTTGAGCACTTAAAGCCACTTTCGTGATTTGGAGGCACACCGGTAACCAGTCCTTAGGTTTGCCTAGGGGCTCCTAGACAAGGAGGTGCAAATCCTACTGATAAGACTTGTTAGTGTTATGGGGCTTTGGAAGGAGGGGGGATTGGAGACAGGCACATGGATCGCGGGACCAGGAAGGGAGAGCAGCCCCCCGTCCTGTGGGGAGCCCCACAGGCAGGCGGGGTCACGCTGATTTACAGCAGCAGAGGAACTGGGGCCATTAATTCAAAGTTGCCGCTTATCGGTGTTTGGAAAGCAAGCTCCGATCTGTTCGTTAGTGATTTGGCCTTTGCTGTAAATAGAGGGGCCCCTGTGCTTTGCTCTGACATTTTTGTCCTTATTATCTTGTCTCGGCCTCAGAGGGAGGTGGGAGAGTTATTTAAGGTTGACCTTAGTGGAAGGAAAATGAACAACTCCCTCTCCCCACCCTGTTTTTCTCTCCAAAGTCCCGAGTAACAACTGTTACGTTGAGCTATCTGTGTGAGATACTTAATCCTCCACCATCCCTGCAAATATTTTGTAGATCAATTCACCCTGCTGTGCCCAGAGAGCTGACAGAGAAAATAATCACAAAGAGACTGAGCAGAACTAATGCCAGGAGTGAAAAATAGATCTTGCATCATTACCCCTTCAGGAAAATCAATGAGGATGGACCATGACCACATCGGTGCCAGAGCTCACTGCTGAAGCCGTTCGGACTTGCATCCCCATGGTTGACTTTGAATTCGAAATTGTGTTTTGAACAAGTTTTAAAACCAGTTGCCCCATCCCAAGGTAAACCCATGAACATCACCTGTAGGAGCACATGATAGAGATCAGTCAGAAGAGGGGGCAGGGAGTATCCCACTGTGCTAGAAATTTAGACTGGAACCCAAATCTTGCACAGTTCCAGGGAGATGTCAGTTCAAGCTGAAAATATGCCCAAGCTCAAAATGCTCATATTCTTGATCTACCACCACTAACCAAACCAGCTGTGCATTGGCAGTTCCACCAAGCTGCCTGAGCACAGACCTTGGGGTGTAATCTCATGCTTACCTGAACACTGTAAACTTCTCTGTTCAGTTATGAAAAATCTTCCAAATAGTTTTCATGAGATTTCGGGTCCTTTCTTATTTTGCCCGTGCCAGAAAACTTTCAAAATATTGGATTTCCTCTTGAAAACTTTGCATTTTCCCAAACACTGTAATTAACAAGTATAGGAAAAATGAAAACTTCTTTTTTTTTTTTTTTTCTTTTTTTAAATAGTGAAAAGTGCAGTATCTTGTCTGGTCCTTGGGGAAGAAAAAATTATTTGAGCTGGATTAGAAGTACAAATGACAGTTCAGGTCAGTCACAGCCGTATTGAAAGCAATTCCGATCTCTGGTGGACAGGGATGTGTGTGCATACCTGCCACTGTAGGATCTGTAAATAATTGAGTTTTGATCCGTGGCATCACGGCACAAGAAGAAAGATTGTGTCCTGAGGGAGCTGACAGAGGTTCAAGCCCCAGATCTGCCACTCAGACACTTTTTCCCAAAGCTGTTTAGGCATGTAATTACTTTTCAGGCTCTGCGCCTGGTCTGTGTCTCTCTGATTCTCTGCCTCCTTTTATCTGTCAGCCTTTTACAGGGACAAGAGCACTCCTCTACCTCCCAGGCGTGTAATGAAGATGAATTCATTACAGCTGTAACACTTTAATGAGAGCTATGAAGATACAGGCTATCCTTACAAGTCCTAAATGAGGGAACTCCCTCTCAGACGGTGCTGGAGTGTCTGGATGCATGGTCCAGACCTGTGTCAGCAAGGCATTAATCCACCTCTGTCAGCTATTCTGGAAGGGATTTAACCAGAAAAAGAGTCTGGCTTTCCTTTAAAAGCCAAACTGGTAGCACTGGGTAGATTTTGTTTCCTTAAGTACAGGAATAGCTCTGGAGTAGGGCATATTTATAAAGCCTTGGGCATCTCCTGTGATCTCCAGGGGCCATTGTGGTCCCTGAGAACTCTGTATCCCATCTTCTGCTCCCACACTGATGCAGCAGGTAGTTCAGGTTATTTAAAGTAAGCCTTGTGCTTAAGAAAGCAGGATCCATCCCTAATGGCCCTTGGGAAGATGTTCAACACCTTTAGGACCAAAGTTGCTTAACTCAGCCACTTGCAATCCAGACTGTTTAACGCCTGGGAAAAATCATGTATATTCCCACTGCCTGAGGGCATATCAGTTACATATCTTTGTGGTCAGAGAGGATTGCTGACAGTTTTACCCCGTTATTTCCCTCAAGTGACTTTTTTTTTTTTTTTTTTTTTTTTTTTTTTTTTTTTTTTACAGCAAATCACATAAAGAACTGGGTGCTTGTATCTCTGATCTCCTTGAGTTGGTCTCAGAGAAGCATCTAAGGGTTGCACTGAGTGGGCTAAAGGAAGAGGGATCTGGCAAGGGCAGGATACCCATTTGCAATCTTCACTAAAGGCATCTTCCCAGTGTTGAAATAAATCCTCTTCATTTCACATTACTGGAACTAAGCAGAAATAGTGGGAAACACTGGGAGAGAAAGCATGTAGTGAAGGCAAGACTCCTGTTGTGTTACTATTTTAAAAGGAAAAAAAAGACCTCCCAACTACTGTTCCATGCATAATTTCACAATTAGTAATAGGCCGGCAAAGAAAGGCTTAGATCAGCTCTTCCACAAACAAGGGATCATTTTCCATCTCAGAGTTCATATTTTGCACGAGTGAGAGTTGCAGCTTTCCTGTCCTAATGGGCCCCAGGCTACATTTTGCCTGCAGGCAGGATGGCAAACCAGGGTTTAGGAAGCAGAAGGATAAAAGAGCCAAACTCAGGGTGCTAGACCAGAAATATAGTTTTTATTCTTAATATCATGTCAGCAGCAGCACGATTCCAAAATGAAAAATAATTCTGTTTCATATTTCTTTATGCAGAGAGACAGAAAGGCAGATCCATCCACAGCAGCAGCAGTGACAGTAGCAGAGACCACTCAGCAAGGCACTGGGACACACTGGGACACACTGGCAGGGTATGTTGGGACTGGCTCAGAGGAAAGATTTTGCCCTGTCTTCCTCTCTCACCTTCCCAGCCTATGCTTCATGTATTATCACATGAGCTCTTTCCTGGTCACCTTTCATAGAACTCACAGCCACATTTGATGAAGTCTAAGGGAATGGCACAGAGGCTCCCACAGAATCAAAGAATTATAAACATTGGAAAGAGCTCTAAGATCATCCTGACCAACCATCAACTAACTGCCATGCCCGATAACCGCATCCATCACAGTTCTTGGACACCTCCAGTGATGGTGACTCCACCACCTTCCTTGGCAGCCTGTTGCAATGCCTTGCCACCCTTTCTGAGAATAAATGTTTCCTAATACCCGACCTAAACCTCCCTTTGTGCTACTTGAGGCCATTCCCTCTCGTCCTATCTCTGTTACTCGGGAGAAGAGGCTGACCCCCACCTTGCCACAACCTCCTTTCAGGTTGCTGTAGAGAGACATAAGTTGCGGGAAGTTTCCCCCAAGCTTCCTCTTCCCCAGGCTAAACAATCCCAGTTCCCTCATAAGACTTGTGATGACCCCTAACCCAACCCAAAGGACATGAGCTCGTGCTTAGCTCTGAGGAGCACATCGTCCTACACTTTTGTTCCACTGACAGGAAAAAGAACTTTGTTATAGCATCTTTTGGTGGAGAGTGTGACTGGGGGACGCATCGGTGTTGTCCAAAGTCCTTCCTTTGGAGCAACATTCCTCAGTGCTTCCATTACGCTCACAGAGCAATTCTAAATCCAACCAGCCTCATGAACCAAATGTAAGGGATACCTTAAGATGAAATTGAAAGCTTGGGAAAATTCTGACAAGACTCAGGAAAAGCTTAAAAGTGGAAATAGTGGAGGGCTACAGGAAATCCCAACAATACCAGAGATTACAGCCCAGGCTGCTAGTGCCTCTCCTGGTGTTGCTTCAGCCCACAGGAAGCTGATGGGTGATACAAGCCAAATGTTCCCCGATATGGGAGAGCGAGGATCGAGACTCAAGTATACAGCATCTCTGTTAGGGGGCTGTTATGGGAAGCAGTAACAATAATCTGAGTTGGCTGAGACGAAGTAACGCCAGGATATCAAGTGCTCCAGTGTTAAAATTGTGCTTTTAAAAGAGTCTATCAAGTGACTTAAAATAAGTTGTCTTTAGAAAAGGAATACCATCTAGTGGCCCAAGAAGGCAATAAGGAGATGCAATGGCAATTAGAGAAGCAGATGAGCTTGGAAAAAGAGAGAGAAACTGTAAAAGATAAGGGATTAATGTATATAGTGCAGTGAACATCTCTGGAGCAAGGGAGGGTGCAAAAGGGACTTGATCATAGTGAATGTGAAGCTAAAATTAGATGCTTGCAAAAGCAGATTGGGATGTAAAGATTAAAAATAACTGCTGGATCTGCAGGAAGTGATGGAGAGCACTGGATTGGGAACCATCTGAGGAAGATGATTTCAGGGATGATGCAAGCCAATGGGAAAAGAAAGAAGTTAAGAATAGCAGCATATCCCACAACAAAAAATGACTGCCATCTTGGGACAGGCAGGTACAGCAGAACAAACTGCCACAGCAGATAGGCAAAAAAGGAACGTGTCAACATTCATCATTATGCTAGAGAATATGGGGAGCTTTTAAAGAACTGACAAGAAGTTGCTCATATATCAGCAGGACCATGTGTTTACTACCTAATCTCAGCAGAGCACTGGTGTCTCCAACTCTCCTGGCAGCCACAGTGCAGTCAGGCTCCTTGGATGGAGGATAAATTAAGAGAACTAGTGGCACAAATGCACTCCATGAGTAACATGTGACAAAATGAAAGAGAAGGACCAATCTATTGAGCTGCTTTCACATTAAGAGACAAACAGTATTTACTTGCATCCCACAGGGCCAAGCACCTGCCTTGCTGCACACGCTTTTGTTCAGAAAGTGTTTGAATAATGGTCTCTGGAGGACACAGAAAGATATTGTGTAGATGATATTCTGGGGATCACAAAAGAAGAGTTACAAGAAAGAGGTATCTGAGTTTTAAAATTAATAGATCAAGAGGGATTAAAAGTCAATTTGAATACAGCACATTTAATGCAATCCCAGGTTAACTGCTGGGGAATTGGAACTGGCAAAACAAGATAGATCTGAGGAAGCTTAAACTTTCTGTGAAATAAAGACTCCCATTGCTCAGACTGAGCTCTGGAGACTGCTGGGAGGATTGGATCTCTTGTGGCACCGCATCTGTAACTTAGCTAGTACTATCAAAGCATTATGACTATTACAGAAGAAACAGGAATGGAGGCAAAGTAAGGAGTGAAATGACAATTTACTTACAGCAAAAGAAGCTGCTGCTTGAAAAGCTCCTACAACAGAACATACCTTTGAAGGAAAGCGATTGATAGTAATAATTTCAGCGTGAGATCATTCTGAGGGATCAGTACTGTTACAGAAAAATAGTGAAGAAAAATGGATACCAATAGGGTATGTGTTCCCCTTCTTTAGGATCCAGACCAAAATTTCCCTGACCATGAGAAAGCCAGGTCTGGTCTGAGATGGTCCTTATCGCTTTCATCGTTGATACTTTGGTTGCACCCTGATCTACTCATACTCTGCTCTTAAGCACAAAGAGAAGAAATCAGTTAAAGTGCAGATGTTCTTTGAAAGGAAACCAGCAATAAAACAAAGTTATTGTGTGCCCATAGGAGTGCTAAGCTTGTACAGAGAGGAAAAATAGTTGAGGGTGGCGTTGTTAGTGGAATGAGGGAACTAGAGAAAGGATGTTGGCAAGGAGCAAAAGCGCAGGCTGTCATAGAAAGCAGTAAAAGACATAAATCCAGTATCTCTTTACAGATAGCTACCTTGTTGATACTAGAGTAAAATACTGGTTGTCTTATAGAGAGAAGGGTGATGGTAAGCAGATAATGGGACACCCAGAAAGAAAACTGGATGTTTATTTTACATGCCTAGAGGGAGAGTGGGAATAAAATATATGTGAAGGAAGCTAAAGCATGTAAGAAGGCTGAACGCAATGCTTAGAAACAATTTAATGAGCAAGTATATAAATTGACTCTGAGTTTATTTACAGCAGCCCCAGCCAGGAATCAACTAGAAGAAAAGAAGGGATGGATACTGTGCCTGGCTGAATGAGACGAAATCATCTCAGACTGTTATAACATTAGTAAAAAAAAAAAAAAGAGAGAGAGAGAGAGAACAAGGTACTATAAAAAGAGTGCAAGGAATTTATATTTGGCCCCAAATGAAGCCAATAAAAATGGCATGAAGTGTGCAGTTTACTCAAAGGACAGTGAGGCTCTGGCACTGCCAGCTGCCCAGAGAGGCTGTGGATGCCCCATCCCTGGAGGGGCTCAAAGCCAGTCTGGATGGGACCCTGAACAGCCTGATCTAGTATTTGGCAACCCTGCCCATGGCACAGGATTGGAACTGGGTGGGCTTTAAGGTCCCTTCCAACCTAAGCCATTCTGTGATAATATGACGCAAAAGTGAAGTAGGGGCCAAATATATCTGAAATTGGATAGAAAGGAACAAGCATCCAGAGCCCAGCCTGCTCAGTGAGACTGCCCCACTTCAGGAGTAAGGGACCACCACTCACTCATGTTGGCGTGAGCGGCTGCAGCGGATCTGTTTATGTGCTTGCTATGAGCAGTGCTGGTTTATGCCTCGAGCTTTGCTTATTTTCTATTTTGTAGGGCAACAGATTTTACTACAGCCCCACAAGCAAGCAGCAGCTGAGAGTCCTGGTGCAGTGATGCAAACTCTGAGGCAAAGCTCAGAGTTGAGGTCTCTGGCAGTTTGCAAGAATTTTTAACTTGGCTCCTCACTCCTTATCAATAGCTTTGTGTTTTTTGTAAATTGCATTAATTATAAACATTTAACAAGGCAGAAAATGACTGTAAAGTATCTTGGAGAATCCAAGGTGACCTTTATGGGCTTTGAGGCCAAACCAGTGTCCTTTTCATAGTGATAGATCTAACCTGCGACTTAGCCTGCTTTAGCCTCGATTACTTTGCTGCAGCTTCCTAATGCGGTAGTAATAACTTAAGATCCCAAATAAAAAATTGTTACAGCTCTTAAGGGAACCTTGAGAGTTGTAGCTCAAAGATCTGGATCCACCCAGATTGGGAAATCATAGCTGAAGCTTTGGAAAAATGTTCTAAAATTACAACAGCTGAATGAAGTAGGTAGTTTTGTTCATTTACAGAACAATTCTCCAAGGAGGACCAACTGGAGGAGAAGCAGCCAGACCTAGTGCTGAACTGCTGATTTCTGTAATGCTCTTTTGAGCAAATGCCTGAGTAAGGAGGAATTTAGGAGGAGGTCAAATAAGAGAGGAAGCAGAAAGGATTCTTGAAGCGAATGGGAGACTGTGTGCTGTCAACAGCTAGCCAGCTACGATTTGAGACAATTGAGGGTTAAATATACCTAAGCAGAGATCTGAAATGGGAAATATGTATGGAATTCTAAGCTATTATGGCTGAGCGACAGTAGAGGTAACACTGAAGGGGTGATGGCATCTGTAAGTATTGTAGGACACCTGCTCAATAGCAGAAATTAACTGCTAGGCCATACGTTTCTTTCAGTAATAAACGATAAAAATCCACATACAGAGAATAAGGATGGTAGAAGTCTATACAGAAACATTACTATTGATGATGCAAAGAACTACTCATACTTCCCCAACCTGCTACCCCCCTAACTGTTTTGCTGCCTCTGTGCATCCCAAGCCCAGCTCTGATACTGCCCAGCTGCATAACCTTGGGCCACACTTCTAAGCAAACTGCTCAGTTGTGAGACAGCTGGCAAGAAGATAAGAAGGGCAGAAACAGGGGGAGGAAAATTGAGAGCTTTGAGCCAGAGCAAGTGATTTGTATCAACAGCGAAAGCTAGATGAAACCAGACTTGAGCATCTTAATTGTAGGCTACTTTCCTCAGAAGTGAACAGCAATAGCATTAGTCATGCATCTGAGCTACATCAGGTGACAGTGATATTAGGCTATGTAAAAACAAGGTGATGCTGTATTTGTGCAATGCTGGAGGATTGAAAGCGTGTGAAATTCTGCCATGGGATTTAAGTGCCAGAATCGATAAACTCAAGCACCAAGGCTGCCCAAGGCCACCAGCACAAATGAGCATCAACAGCTGTGGCTGCTATCTGCTGTGAGCAGCAGTAGTTGAGTTACTGAGCACCAACAGCACAGCTGGTTGTGATCTGTGTCCCTCCGTTGATGAACTCCCATCAGGGAAACTGCAACACAGGTGTGGCTAGGAAGGTGAGAAGTGGGAGGCATTAGGAGTCAATTGAAGCTGCAGATGACAAAAAGGGCTGCCTAAGTCTCAGGTGTGGGAGCTTTTAAAAGAGGGTTTTGAGGCTCTGCTTCTGGGTTTGGGATTGTTTTGTGGTGCTTGAAATGAGGAAGGTACAGGTAGGTTGGGGCTCCTCTATGTCTAGGCAGATACTTCTGGCTTAGATCAGTGTAGAACTTCAAGGATGCTCTAATGCTTCTTTTGTCATGGTGGGGCTGTGAGCACAGGGACTTGTCAGCAAGAAGCTGAGGGGAGGCTGAGAGCTGAGATCTTAAATGTCATGATCTTGGTTCCAGCAGAAGTGCTCTGAGCAGCTCTGAATTTCCTAAGTGCAAGGGGCTGTAACAGGCTTGAGGTGGTGGAGACTGGGTACCCTCTGTGGAATTGCTGTAGGGACTTGTTTTGAAGTTAAAAAGGCAGATTAACTTATTCTCTCAAACTGCAAAAAAAAAGCTTTTTATTTTCTTCTTGTTCTTTTCTTTTTAATGAAACTGGCTTTTGGTAAAGCAGCTTTTCTCCCTTCCTTGCATCCAGGGACCTAGTGCACAACTCTTAACTTCAACTTTGTAGCCTGACCCATGTCTTTGGACAGTGTTAAAGCTCTCCCAAAAATCAAAGGCAAAGTCACCCAGAATGCCAGCAGGCCTTGGGTTTGTCCCTCTGCCTTCCTCTGAGCTGGCCCTACATTCCAATGTGGCAAACTGTTGGGGTAGCATGGGGATGGGCAGCAGTGCAAATGTTTGGAGACAACAGTTAAAAGTTATGGGCTAGGAACAGGGGAGGGCAGAGGGGAATGGAGGAGCCCAGTTCTCTTACTAACTGATCACATTGAGCGCGTTAATCAGTGAATGAAGCTCGTCCCTTACGCTCTCCAGGGAGTGGCAGATGGTCTGGGGGCTGTCCAGGAGTTCAATGCTATGGGTGTAGGGCTCGTATTTCACTGAGAAGGGCCGCTTGATATGTGCTGCATAGTTCCTGTAAGGGAAGGATACAAGGTCTTAGTACAAGAAACAAGTCCTCAGCCCAGCTCCTGGCCTCCTCCTCCCCATAGCCGTTCGCCTAGATCACAACTGGCAAATGCCTCTCTTAGAACATTCAACTTAACACAGAAGATTTGGTTTCTCACCTTCCCACCTTTACAGGGCTGTAGAGATGCCTGAGATCACTCCATTCAGTAAGGAGGACACTGAGTTTAACAGCAAGTTTCTTGGGGCTGAAAACATGGACTTGCACCAAACTGAAGAGTAGCACTGAACTTGTCACCCTATGGCTATCTCCAGACACTTACTACTCAAATTGCTTTTCTTTTTCTTTCAAAAATACCAAAGAGATTTAGACGCTAATTGCAGGGAAAACCTCTGGCATTGTAGTATTACATTCCTAAATCCTTTCTGTCATTCACTTGTTTACTAATCTCTGCTTGGGGAGGAGATGACTAGCTGCAGGCCATGTTAAGATAGGACTGAGAGGCAGCAGGTCAGACCTGTGCACAGAGATGGGAATAGCATCACCAGGCTGAGCTGAGTAATGCTACACTATTTCACACCCAGGGCCAACTGAAGCCTGAATCTGAGTGACAACCCTGACTTCTCATGGCACATCTCAAGAACAAGGCTTTGTCACCAGGTTTACCTGGCCAAGTGTTCAAGGAGGTCATGGCGAACACAGCAAGAGGAAGGTTTCTCATATTCAGCTCCAAGGCTTACGTCTGTACACTTGACAAGGTAGGTTTGTGGATTTTTCTTTCTTGACACTTAATATTGAGTTGAGAATCTACGTTTGTGTACTTACGGCTAAAATCTCAGACTGAAAAGACCTGTGATGATGAAGGGAGAAACAAGTACTGGGGCAAGCGTGCTCATTACTAAGGCTTCACCCTTCTGCTCCTGAATTGCTTAGCTTAGGGTACCCTCTTGTGGCTATCGTAGGTCTGCACGAAATGGGAAGTGCATCGCTCCCTTTAACATGTCCTGGGCTGATTCTGTGTGCTGTAGGAAGTCTGATTACCAGGATCTGTGAGAAAAACATCACTGGCTACAGAGAAGACCAGGGGTCACTAAGCCAAAGCTGCAAGCTGGTGGAGGATTTTTTTTTTTTTTTTTTTAAGTGCCGGCCACTGTCAACATTTTCTAGCCTAAGTTTTAATAAGTAGTGTATTTTCCCCCCTTTAAATGCAATGAAATAACTCATGAGCCAACAGCTGAGTGCTTTTTTTTTTTTTTGAAGCAGACTGTGTGTGAGAGGAAGGGTTTCCTAGGTGCTTGCTTTTGAGCATTTGGACCCTGGGTTATATGAGTGGTGCAAGTGAGTGCCATAAAAGCAGAAGTTGAAATATGACAAAACTTGCCATGTTATTTGTGTGAAATATCTCATTTGTGGGATCTGCAAAGTCATGCATGCTGTGTGATGCTTTGTCTCAACATGTACCCTCTCTATGCCAAGACAAAATGATATACACAAAAGTTTCTTCTTCCAACTAAATGTGACAGCACTGAGTTTTCCTCCTGTAAATCACTCTGACTATGGTCAAGATGTTGTTCTGAAGTGACATCTGTGCACAGAGCTACCCCAGCAGTCTCAACACGTTTGCAGTTGCATGTGATGTGGAAACCAAGTTTATACTAGTGAGATAATGCATGGGATCTGTTAACCATGCTACAGGAAGAAAAATTCCCTTTTTCCAATGGATCCATGTCATGCAATTGTTTTTCCTTGTGTCCAAGCCACAAAGAATGGCTGAGATTTTTGCTAGTTGAAAGATGTGTAAGTTGCCCAGGTGTTACTGTGAAAGACAGAAACCTTTTCTGCCTCTTAAATTCAGAGATCAGAAACATTCTGAGCAGCTCTTCGTGTCTCTCCTAAATCTTTTATATCACACAACTGATGTGTTCTGGAGGGGCATGTGCTGGTGGGAGATGCTGTGTTGGTTGGCTGGTGCCGGACCTGGCTTTTCTGTGGCAAGGAAGCAGAGGAAGTTGTGATGAGTTCTCTGAGCCTCTATGTTCTGGACTTCCCACCAGTTCTCTACTATGTTGCTCAACCTCTCCTGGGAGCTGGAGGTGATCTTTATCTCCTTTTGAGAATTAGGGAGTTGTGCCAGATTTGTCTCTTCTTTAGCTCTCAGCCTTGCCTCAATGAGTGCTTCTTTCTCTGTTCCAAACCCTCCAGCCCACCTTTTGTTGGATAGTTAGTGTCCCAGTCAGAGAGAAGCTGGGACTGTAGGAACTGATAAATTACTTCACTCCATGTAAAAACTGGGTGAATGTTTATTTAGGCCTGAATTTTTGAAAGACTAACTGAACTCTTTCCAAATATCTTCTGAGATTATATACTGAAAGCAGCTATGGTACCAAGCCTTGTTTTAAAATAATAAATTGTGTTCCTTTGTTTGGGTCTCCCTCAGTGCCCAGTCCTACCTCAGCTTGTTTTTGGCATCGCTGAAGCTCTCAGACACAAAATACACAGGCTGGTAGTTCTGGTCCTGGTAGGGCTGAACAGCAGCAGCATCAGGATCAAAGTCCCGCACCTCTGGTTCATCTGACAAGGAGTGCTATGGACACAGTGGGAAAAGTTTCAGCGTAAAATCAAAGAACCCAGAGAAAACATGCTAGAAATGGATAATAGATCAGCAAAGGACATTGCAGCTGCTCAGAGGAAGAAAGGTTTTGTAGTAAAGAGTGTAGAGCACAGTGGTAATTTGTGCTGGGACTTACGATGAGCTCCCCATAGGAAGACAGGAGACCTGCCCCATAGGCTTTGACTATTCCATTCTGTCTGCAGAGTCCAAACTCCACTGTAAACCAGTAAAGCTGTAAAAAGAAAAGAAAAACAAATGGTGGACACAACTTTTCTTCATTTCCTTGTCTATGCACTATGCTGAGGGTTTGGAGATATTTGAATGAATGTGTGCCTGGCATGGACACCAAATTGCATGAAGCATAATCCTCTGCCTCCTTCCCCTGCAGCCAGCCCTGCCAGAGCAGAGTGTTAAACTAAACCTCTGCCGTGCTGGGACAAACTGTGCCCCTGTCCACATGCAATGACGGGTGCCCTTGGAGCAGGCCAGTCACCTTGCTGAGGTAGAGCCAGAGGAAGTGAATGTAATTTAATCCTGTACCAAAGAATCTCAGCAATGCTGTTAGAAATATGATGCTCGTGGATACTCTGGTGCCTCTGAAAATTGGGTTAATGTGCAAGTGAGCTCTGCTGTTCATCTAATCTCTGTTCTGCGTGATCATCTGGGGGCAGCTTGTTTGGGGACACTAAACCTGCAAATGCAGGGGTACCAGGCTGCAATTCTAGCACCACAACCATTTTAGTAGAGGAACTGGGGTTCCTCTGGGGCTGATGGAAAAACTTACTGTAGCCAGTTTCTCAATTTCTTCATCAGTTGCTCCCAGAGATGCAAGCCCAATGTCCTGGGAATATAAGAGTGATGTCAGGATAGATTTGCAGCAAGATCTACTTAAGCATGTAGGAGCTTGTCAGTTATTCAGTTCTCACACAGCACAAGCATCCACTTACTACTTCTGAAAACTCATAGTGCATCTTTCTTGTGGATAATGAGAGTAAAGGAAATATCAAGATGTGGCTTTGGGAATTTCTGTCTATCTCATAACCTCCTCTGTAGCTGGTGTCTGGGAATTCACATTAGCCAGTGTTTCTATTGGAACAACTTGTTTGAAATGTTTATTTTGCACATCCCTTCTTGATCTCTTCCTCCCCATCCCCTGCCTGGTGGCTCCTGCTGTGGTAATTCTCCAGCTGCCCCATTGCACCTTCAGGCTGGTACTCCCATATTCTCCCCATTATTGGGGGTCTCCCTTTCCTTCATCACCACCAAACTATTCATGATCACCTTTTCCTTAAACCCACCTCTTTCTTGATGACTTCTTAAAGACAATTAGCAAGGCCCTTATACACAGATTTCTCTGTTGTTATTGCCTGGAAACAACAGATATAGTCTACCTGAGCTGCCAGGCCTTTTTTGTTGCTTAGTTGCACTCAGATTAAATGGCTGTTAAGTATTCTTCAGTATATACTCTAGAAGAAGAGTGTAAGATTGGTAAGAAAAGGCAAGGCTGAAAGCAAACAGGCATCGGCCAAAGTTGGAGCTGAGGCAGTCATGTCACATGTTGAAGGAAAAAGTACCAAACCCAGATGTGCATATATATTGCAAATCTGTCCCTAGTAGACATCTTCACAAATAAGTGCTGAATGTGCTATTGCTATAGCAATTGATTTGGAGTATGCTGTTTTGTCCTGTAGAAACCCCTTAGAGCAAAGCAATGCTTGACTGCTGGTGTGGTGTAATGAAAACCCAAGAGAAAAGGGTGGAGAGAAGAAAATCTCCTCCAGGCAGCATCCTTGCCAGGAGTGTGAGTGACAATCAGGCCTGTTTGGGATCTCACCTACTCCCTTACACTCTTGGGGAGAAGCAGCAGAAAACTACCTTACCTGGGAGAACTGGGCAAATGTCTTGTCAGCCAGCATTGGGACGTGCCCCAGTAGCTCATGACAGCAGTCCCTGCCATTGTCCAGGGGAAGGAGGAAAATGCAGTCAGCAGCAGATAGCTTGCCCATTAGGGAAAAAGCCAAATGTTCCTTGCTGGCTGCCAGGGCCAGCAGTACTCACGGCTCAGGGGAATGCATGGGTGAAGATGCGTGGCGGATATACTGTGTGCACTGGAACACACGGAAGGCCAGGCTGGCAAGGAAGTCACGTGCAGACAACAGGCCAGCCACAGGCCGGAGCTGAAAGCCAGTCCTCTCTGAAACAGAGCATAAGGCTTTGTGTGAGGGGGCAGATCACAGATTGTGCTGCTCTCCTATGGTTCCAATACCTAAAGAAAAATATTCAGTGCTGGAAGACAAACAGCTCCTTTGCTGCCTAAACCAATGTTCCTGCTTCTACTAGGGAGTTCATTAGTTGTTCAGTGGGTTGATGATGGTCTTGACTTTCCAATGAACTAACCCTGTCTAGTTGTGGCTTCAACCACCTCTCCTCCATGCTTAGATTTTCCCATTGCAGCTACCACTGCTGTGCTGGAGCCCTGGCTGCCACAGATCCAGGTCCCCTGGGCTTTTCTCTGCTCCATCAGGAGCTTGTACTCACCTTTCAGGAAGCGGGAGACCTCCTCCAGTTGAGGGATGTTGTTCTCATTGTAGCCACAGAATTTCTCCAGTAGATTAAAAGCTTCTAAGTACTCCTTGCAGGCATGGGTTGGATACAGGCTCTTCAGAGTGCTGTATACCTCCTTCCTTCAGGGCAAGAAATGATACAGTCAATGACCTGCCCACTTGTTCCTCTGGACGCACGCTACCAGGTTCTCATGCTTCTAGATTTCTTGTTCTTTGCTTTCTGCAGGACTAAGTCTGCCTCTTTGTATGCTTATAGGAGTACACAAATGTACATATTTGGAGGAGCATGAAGCATCAGTCAAATCTACGCTGACCTTCAAGGTCAGAAGATGGTATTAAAAGCATTAACTGGAATTAAAATATTCCCTGTACATCATTCCTGGAGCTGCACTATAGATGGTCAATATAAACAAAATGTGACCTTATTTAAGAGTCAGAGTTCTCAATAGTAACCTGTGACTGACATGACTTCCTCTCTGGGGAAGCTCTCTTGAAGGAAGCTCTTAGGGGTCTTTTTGCAAATCACTACAACAATCCAGGTTTTAATTCCCAGTTTCTAGTGCTGGAGCCATGAGTTATGAATTATATCAGCACTCACCAGGTAGCAGTCTCCTCTGCTGTGTACTCCACATGGGGGATTGGATCTCCCCTGCAAGGCAAATGCAGTGTTACTGACAGTAGAAGAGCACAAGCCAAGCTCCTCTCCCTATTGAGAAGGAAGCCCTTTGGAGAAGCTCTGTATGATGGTGATCAAGATTCTTCTTTAAAATAAACAAGGTGGCAGGAAAAACAAACTTTTGATACTAGGTCATTTGCACAGGTGCAGTAATGGAGACAGAAAAGCATTAATCTCACTGGAAGTTATAAATAAGCAAAGGATGAGCAGAAGCTTAGCAGGCTTAGTATTTCCAGTCAATACAGTTTTCACTGAAAAATTGGGAAGCCTTTTGTGAGAATAAATTAATTTCATGTGCCTATGCTGCAGGGAGCTGATGATTATTAGAATGAATCAATGGCTGGGAAATAAAAGTAGATAATAAAGACAACTAAACACATTTGAACTGCAGGGGGGGACAGTATTGTCCATGAGACTAAGGACTGCAAGAAAAGACATTGTTTATTATAAGTGAGAACTGAAGAAGGCTGGTGCTCTTGCCTTTTCAGCATCGTAATTATATTTTTCTAAATCTTTATGCTCTGTATTTTTGAATGAATGAGATATTCATATATTACAGTGATAAAGCATAGTTCCTGTTCCATTAAGAGCCTGAAGGGATGTTACACAGCAGCCTATGAATGCTAACCTGATAGGCAAGAAAAAGCATCCTAAATGGGTGCATCATCTTAGTAGAATATTTATGCTCAGTCCCTTACGACTCTCTTGCTGGCTCACTTATTTCCTATGCATTTAATATCAGTGCAAAAAAAAAAAAAACAAAACCAAAAAACAAAAAACAAACAAACAAAAAAAACACACAAAAAAAAACCACCACACATATCATTGTATCATTCCAAGCTTTGAATGTGCATCAAACATGTAATTTAACAGAGCAGTCAGTAAGCCATGGTTGGATCACATCAAGTGTGCAGATAGCTCAAGAAGGTGATCCAGATAATATCCATAGCTTGCTTTCAGCATGGTTCACTAAAGGAATCTACATTTAAGTGCTGCTAAAAGAGGCACTGTGGTGGAAGGCAGTGTTACTGAATAGGATCTAGGGAGTGTTTTTACTAACCCAACTGAACACTGGAGCTCTGATTGATGTTGTGAAGAGATTTAGTGCTATCACTGCTTACATCAGAATGAGAGTATTAAATAGCAGTACAAGAGATAGTCTTAATTCTATATAAGACAATTATGAGACCATTATAGGAATCTATTTAATTTATCAGAAAGAGTTAGGAGTCTATAAATACCATAATGGGGTGGGAAAAGTGATAGAGCTCTATGAAAGATGTGTATGATGCACTGGGTAGAAGCTAAATCTACTGATGTTCTATTTTGAAATTAAACATCCTTTTCAGTCAGTATAATGAACCATTGGAATAAGTTTTCCAGACACGTGATGATTTTTTTTCAGTATATGAAACTTTGAAGTTGAGACTAGATGTCATTCTAAAAGAGTTGCAACAGTTCATAGTTAAGTTGGAGATCTGGTGGAATTATACACAGCTTTTATTATGCAGCAAGTTTATTCTGACTGTATCAGTATATGAATAAATGACCACAGGCATTTTTAAATTAGGGATGGAACTGGAATACATGGAGAGAAGAAGCACACAAAAGGAAGTGGAAAGGATAAATGGGAGAAAACACAAAAAAGGTGTAATGCACGTAGTGTTAATTACTTCTCAATAGGCTGTTTTGACATGGTATTATTCCTGCACGAGTGTGAGGGATGATACTTACTGCTTATAGTGAAAAGCGATTTCTGCTATTGATTTCCTCCTCTGGCGATACACCTGGTCAGAGTAGCCCTAGGATGAAAAATAGGAACATAAACACAATGCTTTTAATGTTACTAAATTTCTAACCTGATAAAATTCGTTGCTGTCTGGAGCAAGTGGTGGTTCTGGTACAATTCCCTGACCAGCTGCATGAGTAGCTGTTCTCTAGCTCCTTATTTCTGAGATCTGGCTCAGGACTCAAATGCAGATATGTACCCATACACTCACCGGATGATCCAAGTCCAAGTCAGGGTCAAACTTGGTGACCAAATGGTGGCACTTGTCCAATTCACATATTTTTCTGGGAAACCAGTGAACTGTGAGGAGAGAGAAAAACAGAAGCTGTCTGTGGAAGCAAAGGATGAATGTGAGACTTTGTGGAGAAATGTGCAAGGAGATGATCCTGAGGCATTCTTCCCTTGGTCACATTCAGCATATCACTTCTTTTCTGAGAATATTGAAATCTTTGCCCTGTTTCAACCGTACCACCAAAATAAATAATAAAAATAATCAAATAATTTTTATATTTTTCTTACATTTGTCTTCCTTAGTGGTCCTCACATCTTCTGCTACCCTCTTGATGGAGCTAATGAAAGTATTAAGGTCAGAGCTGTGCACTTCACAGCGCACAAAATACTCCAGTTCAGCAGTGCCTTCACGGGGCTTTCGGCTGAGTCTTGTCTCCAAGTGGTGGATTTTAGCTTCAAATGTCTTGTAGAACATGGGAAAGAAGAACAAAAGCATTAAACGCTGAAAGACTGTAACACTTGAGGAAAAACTGATGCTTTCCAAAGATGTACACATACGGACATTTGTGGGGAGGTCCCTGCTGCTGCACTGAAAATTATTTTGACTGAGGTAAACTTGCTTATCCGTTACCGAGGTTTTGCTTCTGAGAGGGGAAGTCGCTAGGGTAGAAAGCAACTTCCTATGGTCCCCTTTTCCCTTTAATTAGTGGATTTTTGGTGGTGACGAAGGGGGGCAAGGAGCAACCAGGGAGCCGGCGGGCGGTGCTGGCCGTGGTGCTGAACGTGCGGGACCGCCGTCTCCGGGAGTGCACGTTCCCCTTGCCTGCCATCACAAGTGTTTGGTACCCGTAGAAAAGCAGAGGTTTAACTCACCCACTACACGCCCGATCGCAGACGAATACACACACACACTTGAGCATAAAGTCTGAAGCGATCGTTCAGTTGCAGATTTACAGCTGAAATAAATCTGTAGATGTCTTAATTTGTGTTTAAGCCAGCCATTGGAAAAATGTGAATAGGTGAGTTGTCTAGTTTTTCGTCTGAGAAACAGGATCTCACCCCCATTTCATACGTTTGATAGCTTTCCTGAGGGACTCGTGACAGTGATTTAACAGCCATCTTATTGCTACTTAATGTCATTTGAAGAGTCTAGCCTCACCCTTGTCAACAGTGACTGACATAAATACTCCTATAAGACTTGCACCCCATCATTTTCCTCAATTTTTTTTGTTTGTTTGTTTGTTTTGCTTGTTTTGTGAGGGTTCTTTAGGAGTCGAGGAAGAGGTTTAAGAAGAAACGTTTGTTCTGTCTACATCCAGCAGGTTGCTAAATTCTTCTCAGACTCTAGTAGTTACTTGGGGCTCATCATTAGAACTGAATTCACACAAAAATAAGAAGTGGACAGAACAGAGTCCCAGGTCCTCCAAAAGGTCCTGGTAGAATTTTGGATGCTTTCTTTATCTCTGTGAAAATCTGGAGTACGAGCACGAGTCCATGGACAATGACACAGCCTTTCCAATGTCTCTGAGATATCTTTGGTAGAAGAAAGAGCATTATTTCTTTTGTTAATCAGAGGCAGATGAGAAGGAACAGATGCAATGCCACAGGTAAATTAAATTTAGGACTGTGTTTTTGAATGTACCTACCAACTTCAATATTACATTGTCCCCTCAACAATCAATACCTTTGCATTAATCTGACAGCTGTGATTGCATTACCTATGCTTTGACTGCATGTAACACATACAGCAGAGCGAAACCAGCTTCCCTGCAGCCTGGTTTATGATGAGGCAAATGTCATTATGCCCGTCTGCTTTCATATCTTGTACCTGCATTGCCAGAGGGATCTGGGAAATGAATCTTTCTCTGTTGTGGCTTGACATGTTTGTCTTTTTATTATCTTGAAAGCTCTCTCTGTGACAAGATCGAAGAGCTTTTTTTTTTTTTTCTTCTTTTTTTTTCTTCTCCAAAGCAGATCTTGATGCTGCAAGTAATTTTCTCCAGAAAGAAACAAATAATATTTGGATGTAAGCTGCCCCTGTCTCTTCCTTGATGTTTAAAAGCTATTTAAATTATAGACTTAAAATGTGCTGTAACATGCAGTCTGCCAAGTACAAGAGTCTACACCTCCATGCTTCATACCTGCTAAGCAGTGCGTTGCATTTGAAATGTTACACTGATGGGTTTGTTATTTTTTTATTTATTTTACTTTCCTGGCAGCATTGTGCTTCTCTTAGGAAGGAGATACGATCATGGTGACATGAAATGTACTATGTCTATACTCTTCTATTATTAGAAAAGTATTACATTTCTGCTTGACACTTGTGTTTGAGAGATTCTTTTGAAATAAGAACAAAATGTTGCCCAGAAACAGTTTTTTTCTTACAACCATCCTTTTAGAGAAAATGTGAGATGTTTTTTAAGCATTAAAAATCTGAATCAGACATGGCGCTGCATGGGCTGTAGCTATAATGCCCTCTAATTTCAGGAAAATACTTATCCCCCCAAAAACAAGTTTTGTTTTTTGGTTTGTTTGTTTACTTGGTTGTTTTTTTTTTTTTTTTTAACGTTTATGGCTGTTAGGCAGCAGTTTTGTGATGTAGTGTTGCTGATAATCTGGTTTACCCCACAAGGGGTCTAATTTTCTAGGGAAAAGAGTTTTGTGTAGTAATAGAGAATATTAATATATGAGCAAGCATCATGCTCTTATGACAGTGAACTCACATACTAACTAGTAATTACAAGCCCATAGACAACAGGTCAAGGGAAGTGATTCCTCCTCTGTATCACTGATGAAGAAGACCACATGTGGTGTGCTGTGTCCCATAGAAGAAAGATACTGATATACTGTAGTAGTAGTAGTGTAGACCCTACTGTAGTAGGGTCCAGAGGAGGGCGACTAAGATGATCAGGGGGCTGGAGCACCTCCCCTGTGAAGACAGGCTGAGGGAGTTGGGCTTGTTCAGCCTGGAGAAGAGAAGGCTGCAGGGTGACCTCATTGCAGCCTTTCAGTACCTAAAGGGAGCCTACAAACAGGAGGGGAATCAACTCTTTGAAAGGGTTGATAACTGCAGGACAAGGGGAAATGGTTTGAAGTTGAGGGAGGGAAGATTTAGGTTGGATGTTAGGGGGAAGTTCTTTACAAGGAGAGTGGTTAGGCCCTGGAACAGGCTGCCCAGGGAGGTTGTGGATGCCCCGTCCTTGGACGTGTTCAAGGCCAGGTTGGACGGGGTCCTGGGCAACCTGATCTGAATGTGTATGTTTGGTGGCCCTGCTAGGCAGGGGGGTTGGAACTACATGATCCTTGAGGTCCCTTCCAACCCGGGTGATTCTGTGATTCTGTGATCTGTGTAGTGGATGGCTGGCAAGGTGAACAGGTGGCTGGAGCATGTTATATGAGGAAAGAAAGAGGGAATTGGATTTGCTCAGCCTTAAGAGGTAAAGTTGCAGGGGAAATCAGATTGCTTTAACCTGATACCTGGTGGGAGGGTGTAAAGACAGAGCCAAGCTCATCTTAAAGTGCATAGCAGTAAGACAAGAGGCAATGGACACAAACTGTAAGCAAGGACATTTAAAAAAAAAAAACAAAAAAAAAAAACAAAAAACCTTTTTCTTTACCATGCAGGCAGTAAAACACTACACAAATAGTCCAAGGAGACTGTAGAATCTCTACTTTACAAACATGGCCATAAATAACACACTGCAACTAGACCTGCTATGAGCAGAAGGTTGAACTAGAAACCTCTGTAGGTCCCTTATAATCCATGTGGCTGATGAATAGGAACAAATTGTCCTCTTGCTGCTGAAGTTAATGAGATTAAACTACTATAGATAAAACATTGCACAGATCCCCAGTTTGCAAAACACTTTCAAATCCTTCTGGATGAGAATGAGCTATATAAATGCAAGTTGTCATGTTTTGATTATTGTTTAAATAGCCAGTACTTATCTCAATCTTTCCATTCATGGTACAGAGATCCTAGATAATAGAAGATTATATTGCTGGCTAGAGGACAAAAGTGCAATCAGATATGAGTTTTCATCAATTTTAAAGCTATTTATAGGATGCACCTCTGTGAAGGAACCAACACAACCTTTAACACTCAATTCTTAGATTACCAAAGCCTTGACCCAGTAGCTGATCAGTAGTGAGGAAAGGGAATTTGTTCTGTAGCCGTATAGAGCACATGGTGTGTTGCGAATGTTTGATCAGAGCCCAGTGCACATAGTGCTGAGCAGTAGAGGGTGCTGTCAGAGTATGCTACAAATAATATGGGTGTGTATTGTGGGTGTGAAATTGTGTGGCTGACTTCAGTAATTAAGCAAAGTCGAGCCCAGAGTGTTATAAAAGCACATTCCTAGTGTGGGCATGTTAGGGCATGAGCAAAGCACGACTTTGGGAGATCATGCAGACAGTTAACTCTTAACTTGCAGTAGTCAGAACTAGTTTGAATCTTCCTTGATAGATTCAGGGGATATTTCTCATCAAACCACCATGAGAAGCATAGTGTTCCTTGAGTCCAGAAGCAGGTTAGAGACTCACCTCAAACACCTTAAGTGCTCGCGAGAGCGGAGAAGTCTTGGCACCCTTGAGCATGAAGAACAGGTTCAGCATGGCTCTCCCATCCTTCTCCTCAAAAACAATTGTCTCTGTGGACTCTGCTGCATCAGTGGCTGCAGCTGCAGCCTCTCGTTCCTTCCTGGCATCTTCAATGAGGCTTTGGCGTCTACCAATGAACCGCGGAGACTGAATGCAGAATAGAAATAAGTAACAATTCTTATGGAGCGGTAGTGGGGAGCAGAAGCAACTCTGGTACTGCATGAGGTGTGACTGGAGTGCCTCATCAGAGGAAGATTGGAAAGGCTGGGCTGACTTGCTCAGCTTTGCAAAGGAAAGTATTGAGAACTAAGGCTTTAGAACTGAACTTTCAGAAATGTGGCCTTTTGGGAAAAAGCTAAATATGCTTATAGTACAACTGAAGGGGGCTTTTCTCCCACGCCTTCCCCAGCAATATGTATGTATATCTTCTTCAAAAACTGAGAATCAGACACAGTCTTGCACCGTTTTAAGGAGTCTCGTAAACTGCAGTTGAGACGTGCTAGGTAAACACAGAATCATTTAAGAAAAAGGCATGCTATGAGGTACAACTGAAGCCTGCAGCTGTGCCCTGGCCAGGAAATATGAACTGTTTACAGGTGTATTAGTATAGTAGCCAATCTGCTCCCAGGCCCAGTGCGACCACCAGCCTAAGCACACCACATGCTCTCATGTTCTTTTCACAGCCCTGTGCCCGTATGTCCCCAGCCGCACTGAAAGAGTAAAAACATATCCCACAGGCATTTTCTTCTGATTTAAGTGGATGCTTGCCCACTGATTTATAATTGGAGCTGCATCCACGCATACTTGAAAAGTCCTCCCATTTCTCTGGTGGTTTGTTTTGTCCCAGCTAAGCCCTACAGTTACTTGGAATTACAGCTAAACTGCTGCACCTCTGTGCCTGGAGCCATGTTAAGTGGCTCTTTTATATTTACAGTGAGCTATGAACCATTTCCTTCACCGCCCGCCGCTTTTGTTATACTAACAGCTCATATGCCAACTTATTTGTTTCTGGTCTTTCTGCAATAAGCCTTCCACTTTGAGGCAGTTCAGTTGGTTCCAATTTTCTGTGTTAGACACTCAGATGACAGAGTCTTAGAACTTGCTAAAAGAAACCAGAGGCAGCACTGAAAGGGGATAGCTTATAAGGCAGTTCAGCATCCACTCACAGAGATGGACTGGCTGTATTTTTTTATCCTCTAATTCTAATGAAGGCATTTGGTAAATAGATGCCAAAAAAACAATGCCTTCCCTACCCTTTGAAACTTTGGAGAATATTTCCCTTTGAAAAACAGCCTGCTCAACTACTAAGCCTATTTTCTCTATTATTTTTGAAGCCCGCTGTGATGTTTCCTCTGAGAACCCTCTTGGATGCTTTAGCAGCACAGAGCTTCATGGCTTCCTCTGGCATTTGAAATGCACCCTGGAAAACACCGTATCTCTAGATATCAGCCCACGTGCTTCTTCTTTGTCCTCTTTTTTAATAAAGAAACCCCTCTGAAGTGATATTTGCTGATCCTCAGCTCCTTTATTCCTAGAGGCACCAAAAAATACCATCTAACAAATAAGCGCGCATTGCCATTTGTCTAATTTGGTGGTATTTGCACCCAAAGAGAAAAGACCTCTAATAAATACCCTTCTGGTCTTAACTTTTAAGAACTTGTAAGCATATGCTTGGCTTTAAGCGTGTATTTTATATTGCTACTGTGTTTAAAGCTAAGCTAGTGTTTGCTTTCAGGTGCCTGCAATAAGTAGGGCAAACAGGGTCTGTGCTTTTCAGCAGTATGAAGCATTTCAGCTAAAGTGGTTTTATTGTATTATGCCCAGAGGTGCAAAAGTGCAATAGGGATTTTCTTCTGGAATGGAGAGAACAGAAGGAGGGGAGCTAGACTCCCATAAATCAAGTGAAATTTCTGCTGGGAGGAGTTGTGATGGTATAACCATGCTGCCAACAGGCAGAAGCAGGGGGTTTGGTCCATGTCTAGGGTCTTAGATCCACACTTGGAGTGGCGAAGTTCATAGAAAAAGGGCAAGGCAGTTTTTTGTTTAGGAGAACATCAGGAGTGGTCTGCCTGCTTGCCGCATCGATGCTTTTCCTCTCAGCATCATCTCTCCTATTTCTCACCATTTATGCTCTTCAGGATGTTGCCTCTTTTTTTCTGGAAATTAGGAACTATTTTCTATATAAACTAGCCAAAATGATTTCTTGTGATAAATGACTTCTATTCTTTGGAAGATGCTCTTACACGGGATTTCTGACTTTCCCTGTGGACTAACTCCCTCATTGCCTATCCAGCTAAAATGAGAAATCTAATTTTGCAGAACACTTCTTTACCTCCCTGGGATCTGTGTCTGACTTGGTCATTCATCTGGTACAAAGGATTAGTTTTTCTTTCTTTGAAATTGCTGCAATTCTGTGTGCCTAGCTGCTAAAAACGTGATGCTTTGAATTAAAGCATTTAGGCTCGCTTTTTGTAACAATCCCAGGCAATCCTTCCAGCTGTTTGGCTTCAAGCTGCCATATCCTGATTAAACGCTCTGTAACCAAATCCCTGTTACAGATACAAGATATCTTGCAAAGAAAAACTGTGAGCAGAAAATCTAAATATACAACCTGAAGGATTTTCCACTGTGTTTATCTCTGACTGTTACAGCTGGTGTGTGAAACACCTTCTGGTGTGGGTGAGTCTTGGGATTGCAAAGCTCAGAAGGGACACCTCTGACCTGCTGGTGTGGTGGTTGTAGGGACTGGGTGGCCAATGGCCTTAGCATGAGGGCTGGGGTTGAGTGCTGCCACGCACAAATGCAGAGTCATGCCTCTCGCTTAGTGCAAGCCAGAGAAATAAGCCAATGGATTGCAGAGATCTCCCACATGAGGTAGGAGAGCTATTTTTTATTTATTTTTCGCTTTTCTGTGGATTTCTATTCCAAGAAGGGATACAGAGATAGTCTGAAGTTTTATATCTGCTCTTCCAGGCTGCCACAGCCCTGCTAGCATGTCCAAAGGACTCAGATTCCTGTAGCCCTTGCACCCAAGGCCACACTTTCCATCAAACACAGCACAGCATCCCTGCATGCCCAATCACCAAACTCTCACCCCTTGGCCAGACAAGCCAGCATCTCAAGTACTGATCCAACACAGTCTGGAAAATCCCTATTTTTGAAGAGCTACTTAAATGTTCATTATTTTGCCAGGGTGGGAATGCCTGTGCAGGAGGAAAGCCTTCCCCGACTTCCATTTACTACTGAAAGTGAGCTTACCTCTTTGTTTGTTAATTGTTTCTCTTGCTTTCTGGCATGCTGCATGCTCCAAAACACCTTTGGTGCCTCCACCACGTTTTCTCCTGCTAAGTATCCCAAGAGTTCCTTCCCCATGCTATCAGGGGTCATCCAGAGCCTGGCCACTTCCCTGACCTGCAGAGCTGTCTCATGCCCGTGGTCTCTAGCCTTTTCTTGACTGCCTTCCCATTTGGTTAGTGTTCCATTCCTACAGCCTACCCAAAGCATTTATTAGAATTTGTTCTCTAAATGCACTTGACAGCCCAGCGGGAAATTTTCTCTTCTTTCCCTTATATCTGCAGCTTTAGTGTGTGCAGAAGTATTCCTCAAGGTAAAAACCAGGCCCCTAAATAATTATGAAGGAGTGGGAGCAGAAATGTGGGAAGGATGTACTGAGAGAGCAACAGCAAACTGAATGAATTGCCTGCACCCTGCATGTGGTCTCAAATGAAATTCACACTTTTCCATTGTGCTATAACAGATGAAATCTCTGCAGCTTAATGTCTAGCAATGAATATAGTATTAAGTTTTTCAAATTGCATTAGATGCTGCGGATGCCTTGTTACTCCTGCTCTAGTTCTATGGGTTCTTGTAGTTGCTTTTGGCTGGGGGGGGGGGGGGGGGGGGGTGAGGGTGCATTTGTTTTAGCTTTTGTCCCCCTAGTTCTTTGCATTTCACACATCAGTGCGTACAGATGAGTGTGGGGGTCATTTACTTCTCCTGGTCTAGAGAATTGGCTGGGGATCACCCCTAGGGATAGTGTTGATCCCTCTATGCCTGTCTGCCACTGCCTACTGCTGGAGGAGAGGCTGCATTTTTTAGGGGAGAGGGAAGAAGTGGAGTAGAGTTGTCTTACCATGATGGCCTCGGCTTGCTTGGAGTCCAGCTCCGACACCGCCCTGCGGAAGCCTTTGGCTGCAGAGGTGGAGATGTTGGGGGTTGGCATCGTCACTCTTCCACGAGCTCTGCTCTCCGCTTTTCAGCTCCTTGCCAGCTTTTTATAGGGTGAGGCTGACGTCAAAGATTCTTTCAAAGCTTCTCCCCTCCTGCCGCAACCCCCCCATCAAACCACCTCCCTCCTTTCCCCCCTCAGGCTGAGAGGAGGAGGGGACGTGAAGGAGAGAAGCGTTTCTGTCCCATTAAATCTAATCGCCACAAAGATTGCAGACACCCTGCCTTCGCAGACCTGCTGCTCCCCCCACTTGTTTGCCTGTGCCCAGAAGATTTCTTCCCTGTTTTTCACCCCTCTCTTTTTTTTCTTGTTATAATTCTCTCACTCTTTTTCAATCTGGTAGATTCACTTTCCCGGCTTGGGCATTGCATGAAAGGATTTTGATCTGTTAAAGGACAAAATAAACAGAAGGGAAAGAGTCAGCCTTTTATTTCCTCCTTGTTTGCTATGTCACTGAGGCAGTAAAGGAGGAGGAAAGTAGCACCAACTCCCCCAGATCAGCTACAGGACTGGTTGCTGTTCTTGTACATGCACCTCCAGAGTTGGGTTGGCCATGGCAAGCTGACAGCAGGCCAGCAGGATTAGGACCCTTGTATCCTCAGAGGAGAAAACAAGGGGGAAAACCTGCCTCTGCATCCTGCTATCCAAGGATTTTGCTATTCTCACTGCAGTGCCTCAGAGGCCAAATGCCCAAGGACATTTGGTCTGTGGCAGCATGTGGCACAGCAGGACCCACCCAGAGATGTCCTGCTGCATTCAAGATTGGCCTTCTCCTCATGTGGGATTCAAGAGGTGATGGCCTCAAGTTGCACTGGGGGAAAGGGGGGGGGGGGGAGGGGAGCGTTCAGGTTGGATATTAGGAAAAATCTCAGAAGGAGTAGTGATGCACTGGCACAGGCTGCCCAGAGTGGTGGTGGAGTCACCATCCCTGGAGGTGTTGAAAACCATGGCGTGGTGGCACTGAGGGACATGGTTTAAAGCAGCTACAGACATGGGCTGATGATTGGACTCAGTGACCTTAGCAATCTTTTCAACCATACTGATTCTATGATTCTTTGCCCGGCAGCAACTCTCTAGCACCAAGCTAACGTGTTCCAAGACTGAGAGAGCTTCCCTGGATTTTGTATAGGAAAGAAAGGCAGGCTTGGGAAGGAGGAGAGTTATGACAATCGTATTTGAATATCAAATAAACTTTTCATTCTGAATGTACTCTAATGAATTATGCTACCCTTTAAAGTAGCAAGTAGAATGCCAGACTTCAGCACTTTTGGTCTGAGGCTTTCAGTTCAATCTCAGGACGAAGAAAAGTTTTCTTCATTCTGTTTTCTTAAAATCAAAAAGCACAACCATTTTGATAGATCTTTTATTTGTGGTTTTCTAAAGTCTAAAGGTCTTTTTAGAACGCCATTTGCCAGAGATGATGAACCTAAAATCAGCTATCAAAGCAAATTCCACTTATTCAAATTTGTAATCAAGTTACTGAAAGGGTAGCCTTAAAATGTCAGTTCATGTGAAGAATAGAGAAAATGGATAAAGTACTTTAATAAAATGAGAACAGAACAAGTCAGCCAGCCTTCCTGCAGGCTGTAACATATTCAGAGATCACATGTGAGGGCTCTTCTGACAAACAGAGGCTTTAAAAGGAGCCGATAACATCAGGCAAGTTTTTTGAGATTATTGTACAAATATGTGGGATTACTTCAACTACATATTTTGATTTCCTTTTTTTCATTACATATTGTTTCTCTCCTTGCAAAATCCAGCACTCTACTTAAGCTCATCAGCTCTTCTTAGTTCGTCAAAAAGCCCTTGATTTTTAATTCCTCTCCTCTATGGGGATGATAAATTAGGCATACAACTCCTGCTTTCTTTAAGCCCTGTTAATCTTTCACCCCATGTCTGTCTGGTGATGAGAGTCCCACATTGTACGGAAATGCTGTCAAGCACAGAGCCTCTGCAGAGCTGAAGTGTAGTCCTGCTTCCTATGCAACCAAAGGCAAAACATCTGCATCTCTGTAAACCTCCTGCTTAGGTTTATGTGCAAGTTCTGCTGATATCAGGCATGACTTACTACAAGAAAACATTGAGGACCTCAGGTGTTTCTAAAGAAGGGCAACAAAACTGTGAAGGATTTGGAGTGCAAGTCTTATGAGGAGTGGGCGAGGGAGCTGTGATTGTTCAGTCTGGAGAAGATGAGGCCAGGTAGAGACCTTGTCACTCTCAGCAGCGACCTGAAAGATGTGGTGAAGTGTGGACTGGTCTTTTCTCCTGCATAACTAGCAATAGGATTAGAGGGAATGGCCTCAAGTTGCGCCAGAAGAAGGTTCAGATTGGGTATTAGGAATTTTTTTTTTCCTTGGAAAGAGTGGTGAGGCACTGAAACAGGCTGCCCAGAGTGGTGATGGAGTCGATGTCTCTGAAAGTGTTCAAGAAATATGGAGATGTGGCACTGAGAGACATCATCAGTGGGCATGGTGGTGGTGGGTTGCATTTGGACTAAATGGTAACAGTGGTCTTTTCCAACTTTTATGATTCTATGACTTTTAGGAGTGTGAGCCTACTTAGTTAAATTATGGCTTTGCTCCCACACCAAGGCTTTTGTATGTTGATTAAATACCGAATTTTCTAATGAAAGAGGAGCATTTAGGAAGCTTTATGAAGTAAATACAATGGATTCATTAGTGCTTTGTTTCTCAGGCTCCAATCACATGACTGTCTGTGAATGTGTGCGAATGCTGTGTGTAACCAGCTGCGTGTTTTAGGGGATTTATCTGACATAAAGCAGGAACAGCAAACATTGTTGGACGTTGCACCTTGGGTGCATAGACCAAGAGGAAAACCTCCATCTGCCAGACTGCCATCCCTCATTGTGAGTGAGAGGTGGAGGGATCTCCGTGCAACAGACTGTGCCTTGATGTAAATTCCAGGGGGAATCAGTGACAGAGGTGATGCCAGCCCAGTGATGGTGGGGAGCTCTCTAATGGTTCAGGCAGCTGCAGGGACAGGCTTTGAGATGCAGAAGTGTCCCACCAAGGGCAGAAGAAAGGGACTGTGATCACATTGTGAGGGCAAGGTGCTATACCCCAACGTAATTGAGGAGAAAACCCTGGTGGTTGTGTGGAGTGACCAAGTCCTCTTGTTGCTCTTTCTCCCACCTATTCGCACCCTCTCCCTCTTTTCTTCCATAGCCTGAAAGTTACAGTCTGCTATATGAAGCAATTACAGCAGTGGTTAGCCAGCTCCATCAAGAGATGTCTGTTTTTTTATTCATTTCCTTTCAACACTTCTGAATGCCTCAAAGTTTAATAACCCATAATGACACCCTAGACTTTGATGTCATTGCAGCCTCTAGGACTGGGGCATCAGCAAGAGGAGAAAAAAAAAAAAAAAAGGATAATTAAAATCCATGTCTACCTCTCAATTTTGCAGTATTCTATCATCTGGAAAGCACTAGCTTTTGTGCTCACACTCACTACAGATGAGCCCAAAGAAAGGGGAGCTGCAAGGAGTAGAACTCTGTAGCTCCTTCTTAAGTGTTCTGAGATGTATTCTGAGACTCTGGCATTAAAGCACAGTTGGACCAGATGAGGTTTAACATCTTCAGACCTGCTCTGGTAGATGGGCCAGGTGCGGGGGTCCTCTGTTCCCTGAGTTGTAGAGGTGGGCTCTGGGAGATGAAGAGCCCCATTGCAGGGATTGTTATTCCAACCAGCAGATGAATCTCAGGGCGAAATGAAAGCACATACATACAGAAGTACACACACGCACACTAGTGGCAGAAAATAATCTCCTATAGGAGATGTAGTAGGGCTGTGCAATCTCCAGCACCTTTTTGCCATGATCTGTATTGATATATTTTTTAAGTATGATGTCCAGGATTATTCTGCACTACAGATGCAAATCCAGTGACTGACGGGTCACAACCAACACTCTTCAGCAGCTAAATGCAAACCTCTGTGTCCACGACTTCACGTTTCAGAAGAGCAGCTCAGTTTTTAACTGAACCTGAAAATATTCCACAACACATCAAAAATGTCTGCTTATCTTTGGCTTTGGACATTGGGACTCACCGATCTCACAACTTCACATTTGGAGTCAGTTTGCGCTCATACCACTCATATTTTGCTTCCGACTCAAATCTCCTCTCTTGTGTCAATATGGTAATTGCAATCCTGAAAAATTTTTACAGAAATCAACTTTCCAGGTGAAAATAACCTGATTTCAGGCAAAACTTATTGAGGAATAAATTTGCAGAGGGAAGGAATTTTACTCGAATGGAGGAAAAACTCAGCACCTCCCTCTCCCCAGGAACTGGGTATTTAGCCCTGAGTTTTCAGAAACAAAAGCAGCAGTAATCCCTCCATTTCTGCATCAGGAAATGGATCTGGAACATACGAGTGTTAATTCAGAAACATTGTATTGATGATTCACCCGCTACTGCAGAATCCAAAATAACCATCTTGTCTCAGATCAATGGGGAAGCACTTAGGAGCAATTTTCTCTTTGGAAATGTGGGCAGCAAACAGACAGCCAGGAACAGGGGGGTGGAGTAAAATGTACTGTCTCTTGGAGCGTGCTATCTTGTATGATCATAAAAACATTGGCTGACACCTCTGTCCCACCGTATTTCTACTTGCAGAAAATTCTTTAGTAAAGTGTTAAGGGTATTTCACCTTTGTGTGGAAAGTTGCCTCCATGTGTATTGTAGCAGGTCTCTCCCTATACAGCCAGCCTTCATAATTTTCATTTATATCTGTGATTCCCAATATTTTTCTCCTAGCTCTGGAGTCAGCTTTCCTTTGAAAATACATTAAGTTGCAGCCTTTTTGTGAGGAGAGGAAAGGATGGAGTCTAGGAACTCCCAGGCTGGGGGGAAAAAAAAGCCCTCCAGAATCTATAATTACTGTATGGAAATCTGGCACAGAATTATTGAACATTGAGTTTGACAGTGAATTTGCTTTTCTTGGGGAAAAAGAAAAGAAGTATTACGTGGGCAAATAAGAGC